TATATATATATATATATATATATATCTTAAAGATATTACTGTGCAAAAAAGACATTGGATCTGTATTTTCCATGATCACTTTATTATAAATAGTACAATCACCTTATGATGCTTTCTATTTCAGGACCCTTCGTTAGGCCACACCCTGCAATATGGCGAATGGTGTTCGGTGGGTGTTTAACTTTTCTGCTAAGATACAGTTCTCATGTAGCCTTATCGTCACTAACTCACTTTTCTCCTGTGTTGGGTAGGTCTCAGTGTGCTCTACTTCCTGTTTCTTGTCTTCCTTATCTTCCTTAACTGGGACCAAGTGAAGACTCTAATGTACTGGCTCGACCCAAACCTCCGCTATGCAAAACGGGAGGCTGACATCATGGTAAGTATAGCTTTGACATTTTTTGGAACCTGTTGAAGTGAAACTTAAAATCCTCTAAAGCCATTTTTTGATAGCTTTAGAATAATCATGCCGCATAGTTGTTTTATTTTTTCAATAAAGTTTTATGATCTATGTAGTGATGTTCTTACATGCTCCATAATATGATCTATTTGGAGAATCTGCTGACCAGTGAATACACACTTCTGTAGTCAGATTTCAGTAAAATAAAGTAATTGTGGTAGCAGTAAAGATGTAATCAAAAGGAGGGATCAGCGTGATTGTTAGCATTGTTACTGTTGTTTTCTCCCTAACAGGAGTATGCTGTAAACTGTACAGTGATAACGTGGGAGCGCATCCTGAGCCACTTTGACATCTTTGCGTTTGGCCACTTTGGAGGATGGGCCATGAAGGCTTTGCTAATCCGCAGCTACGGCCTGTGTTGGACCATCAGCATAACCTGGGAACTCACTGAGGTAACATTCATGTGATCTCTGCATGACAGCAGGCTTGATCTGCCTGTATTCAAATCTGTCATAAACATGCTGTATATTCACAAAGCGGGGAGTCTGCAAGGTCACAGAAGAGTAATTATCAGTCATTTGTAGTAATCCAGCTCATGCGAGAGAATGACAGTGCTTCAGATTATGCTGTGCAGGGAACAGGGATTGTTTGTCTGGGAGACATTTATGACAGTATAATAGCAGTAGGAGCTTTTTGCACATAACAAAAGCTGTGGTCTTGACTGTTGCCAAGGAGTGGAAGTCTCAGCAAATCCACCCCATGGTCTGAATGTACAATGCTCAGACAAACTGCAACAACACAAGAGCGAAATGTTAAATCTTACAACTGGAAAAAGTCTGAAGGGTTGTCAGGAGAAAGCCTCTGCGCTCTAAAAAGAACGAATATTTACGTGGCAACATTCTTACCTTGCAGAAAAAATGAGTTCATATTCAAAATTACTATCGCCAGAAGAGGCACGGCTTTCCAAAGTGTTTCCATGGGAATGACGATGGTTTAAAAATAAATTACTAAAAGCTCTCAGGCTCATATAATGCAGAAGAGCTAAATATCTTTTCCCTTGAGACACCCACTGTGGCTCAAGTGGAAAAAGACTAATTACAAAACTACAATAAAAGTTATTCTTTCTTGTGAAAAGAATAACCCCAGATGAGGAGTTCACTGCAACAGAAAAAAAAAAGATTCTTTAGCATCCATGGGATACTGTTAAGAAATTATACTGTAAGTGATGACATCCAGAAATGATAGAAGTCATGTTTAATGAAAGTTGAGAACATGTAAGATACGATAAGATGAGATAAGGGTCAATGGAGTTTGTTTAAAGTAGAGGGATTGTGGACGCAGCACACCAGTTCGTCGTGGTGAAGAGATAGCCGAGTGTAAGAGTGAAGTGTTCGGTGTTCCCTGGGATAAGTTTGAGGAAATTAAGAGGGGGCTGTTGGGAGGCCTGGGCTGGGCTGCTCTGCCTAGGCTTAGCCTTCGTGACGCGTCCCCAGATAAGCTGAAGAAAATGGAAGGTTAACGCTTAGACCTTTCCATTTTTCCCATTTTACATATTTTGTTTTCTTTATGTGCATTTTTTGTTGTAGTTCTGAACATTTTGTAGCTTATGGTGTTTTGGAAAACTGTAACCGCAGTCATTGAGGCGGCCCTGAACTCTTCTGTATATTAAAGTATTCTAGAGTCAAATGTGAGACCATCTGTCTGAGAGATAAAGCTTGGCTTAAACTGGCTCATACAACAGGACAAGCAGAGGAACAAATCTAAAACAGAACGGCTGAAAAGGAAACTAATCGTTGTGTTGCAATGGCATGGCGAGCTGTGCGTAAACATATGCCCGCAAACCTCAATGAAGGAAAGTAACACTACATAGAAGACTGTGTTAGAATTCCTCGACAATGTTGTGTGAGACTGATGAAAACGAGTAGTTCCAGTTATTGCTGCTGAAGGTGGTTCAACAACCTGGTGAATAATTTTTGCATACTACTTCTGCATTTTGACAATTTTTTAGTTCAATAAAGAATAACGCAGTATAAATTATTATGTGTTGTTATCCATCAGTTTATATTTAAATGATTTTGGAACCCGATAGGGACCAGATGGACTTTGTTCTCTTATATAAACCTTAGAACTGTAAAAAGCAGTAATTTCTAGTTCGCTGACTGTATATTAACTCATGTCCCATGTTTGGTCACAGCTCTTCTTCATGCACCTTCTACCAAACTTTGCGGAGTGCTGGTGGGATCAGGTGATACTCGACATACTGTTGTGTAATGGAGGAGGCATCTGGCTGGGAATGACCGTCTGCCGTTTTCTGGAGATGAGGACGTATCGCTGGGCCAGCATCAAGTCAGTATTTTCTTCTCTTTTTTTCCCATATGTAAAAGAATTGCCATGAACATTAGAAACAGCTGAAACAATCTAATAATATGATAAGAGATATAATATGTGTAAGACAAAGTTGTCTTTTTAAATTCCTAAAAGCCAAAAAAAAAGCATCTCTGGAATTCCTCTAAAACCTTTATCAATAAACCTTAATCATTCAACTTCTTGTTTCCCTTTTTGTTCTCAAATGATTTACATTCAGAGATATTTTTCACATAATTGACCACAGGGAGAACAATTGGTTTCTTTTTGTTCACCTTGAATAATGTTCAAATGTTTAATGTTTCAAACATGAGTAGATCTCTGTATTATGAGTGCAACCCTGACACAATACACTGTTTCTGTCCAGGGAAATCCACACTACCACAGGGAAGATAAAGCGAGCTGTGCTTCAGTTCACTCCAGCCAGCTGGACCTTCGTGCGCTGGTTTGATCCAAAATCATCATTCCAGAGGCTTGCAGGCATTTATGTCTTTATGATCCTGTGGCAGGTAGGGGGTACCGTGATTCAGAAACACAAACTCAGTTCTAAAAAGTTTGGGTGCTTCGTAAAAACTAAAAACAGAATGCAATGATTTGCAAATCTTATAAATCTATATTTTATTCACAGTAGAACATAAAAAAAGATATCAAATTTTTTTATTTATGCCCAAAAATGCAAAAATATACAAAATGAACAAAAAAGACAGGACCCTTAGAAGAGGTCAAATGAATAAAACTAAACTAAAGCCAAAAATAGCAACTAAACATATATCCACACTAACTGCT